GTTTGGGATCATCCTCCCTCTACCAGCATCTAACAAGCGCCTTCAGGCAGAAATCTGGGACTACTGCAGGGCTCACCCTTTTTTTCTCTCTCAGGGATCCTGCACTACTAGTTGTTCCGGTTTGAAAAGAGCTGTTTCACATATTTCATCTATTTTTCTAGTTGTTCCTGGCAAGGGGCTAATTTTATCATCAGTTTTTCTGCCATGATCATAAGTGAAAACGCTCCATCTGTGATCCTTAAAACTCCTTAGTGAATTCAGATGTGCATTCAACGTTGAGTACCTATGTTCTAGTTGTCATTTATCAACTTAACAGGACACATCTGAATGAATTCATGCTAACAGAATATACAATCACCTCTTTTGTATAATAGATCAGTAACGTGTTCAATTTATCTAGAACTTCATATAGGCATTTCTCCACTTGAACCGCTACTATTCTTTGTTCCAATATGTCCTTTGTTCAATTAGTGTATTACTAGTTTTTATTTCTCAGAATAAATACATTTTGTCAATTTCAAGTTATAAACATTTAATTTTCATGCATNAGCATAGCCTTTCTCCTATAACATGGCCTTTCTGGGGTCTCTACTGAATTCCCAGGGTGATTGATAGGGCTACTTTACTTTGGTTATGTCCCGGCCCATGTGAACTTTGGGAACTGTTCAACTGATAGCTCCCTGATAGCTGTTTGTTGTCTGACCATGTGCATTCTCAACTTATGCATGTGACACTAACTCAGCCAAATATTCAAGAGGAGCCCAATTCAGATATATAAGCCTCATTCAGTGCAGAACTCCCCTTGCTTTGGTAGGCTGTCTCACAAATTTCAGGCACCTCAGCTTTGCAAACTTTTATCTCTGTCTCTTAATCCTGGAAAGTTCATGGTTCTCAGTTTGGGATCATCCTCCCTCTACCAGCATCTAACAACCGCCTCCAGGCAGAAATCTGGAACTACTGAAGGGCTCACCCTTTTCTTTTTCTTCTCTCAGGGATCCTGCACTACTAGTTGTTCCGGTTGGAAAAGAGCTGTTTCACATATTTCATCTATTTTTCTAGTTGTTCCTGGCAGGGGGGTAATTTTATCATCAGTTTTTCTGCCATAATCATAAGCAAAAATGCCCCATCTGTGATGCTTAAAATTCCTGAGTGAATTCAGATGTGCATTCAACGTTGTGTACCTATGTTCTAGTTGTCATTTATCAACTTAACAGGACACATCTGAATGAATTCATGCTAACAGAATATACAATCGCCTCTTTTGTATAATAGAACAGTAATGTGTTCAATTTATCTAGAAATCCATATAGGCATTTCTCCACTTGAACCTCTACTATTCTTTGTTCCAATATGTCCTGTGTTCAATTAGTGTATTACTAGTTTCTATTTCTCAGAATAAATAAATTTTGTCAATTTCAAGTTATAAACATTTAATTTTCATGCATCACTGAATAACTTGATATAATTTTCATATAAATTTTTTTAAAAAATATTGAATCAAAATTGATTATACAAACTTTGGGGGTTCAACATTGGGATATGTTGATCAAATCAATATTATTAGCATATATATTGTTACAAATCATAATTATTCTTTATACCCCCTGTCCAATCTCTCCCAATCCCCATACCCCTCTCCCTCCCCCTCTGATAACCCTAGATTTCTTCTCTCCTTCTGAAAGTATAATGGTTACTTTGTTGATTTGTTGCCTAGATGATCCGTCCAATGCTGAGGGGTGTGATCAGGTCCCCCAATATTATCATACAGCAGATGCTTCTTCTGTCACTCTGAAATGGGCTTTGTGGAGAGAAACGTCCTCTTCTTTACCTCTGCTGGTGAGTCTCCTTGTGTCAATGCACTCCAGTGGCTGGCGGACCATCTGCATGGTGGTTGTGGCATCTAGCTGGTTTCACAGCAGCCATGGTTATAGTGGTGGCTTTGGGGGGCCACCCACATGGAGGTGAGGTTTTTGCATGCTCCTTGGCCGTGGTGCAGTGTGACTGGATGTGGGAGTGGGGTCCAGTCCCCGGCTCCAAGCTTCCGTTCCCATGCAAGCCCCTAGGTACTGGTGGTGTGCCTGGGCTGGAACTAATGTTTTGTCCTTTGCTTACTTCTAAAATGGGGGAACTTCCTGTGGGAACCAGTACATGAGCTGTGTGATTGTTTAAATTGCAGCTTTGCTGCTGTTTCCCTAGGGAAGGCTTTTTGTGCAGCTCAAAGTTTAATGGTTGACCTTCTAAGTACTTCCAGCTCTCTAGATACCCGGTGGATCTGTGCTGTGTAGAAATGATTTGGGCCTGAGTTTTTTCATCAAACTGCACCCCATGTAATTCTGCATTCCTGACCAGTCTCCTCTGAGTGGTCCTTCGCTAAATGGGGTGCAGGTAAGCTGTCCTTGTTCTGCCCCAGTGTTCTCCAGGTGGCCCGGTCGCCACTACTGCCAGTGCTCCAAACACTTCCCATGGGATGGGCTGTGTGCCAGTCCCTTGGGATGGCTCACCGGCCTCTGAATGGCTCCCCTTTATCATTTGTCCTGGCTCCTCGCTCCTGCATGGGTCCATAGGTACCCTATTAGTGGTCTTGCTGTCCTGGGGACACACACGCCTGCATTTTAAGAAAAAAATAATCATAAAAAGAAACTTTTCTGCTTCTCTTCATAAAATATTTTATGCTTTCCTTTCTTCAAACTTAAAGACAAAGGTTGTCTTTTTTCCCAAATAAAACTCTACATTTATTTCGGGTTATACTCTCTCTAAGCGTCTTCAATTCTCACCAGAAAGCAGTCAGAGAGAACCAAGCTACAGCTGACATAAAAGCACAGCAAACAACCAATTTTAATTAAGTTTTTAATTATTACCATTTTTAAAAATTAGGTAGGCGAATCTCATATTGTAGAGAATAATCATGCTTTACCACTTATATATACTGATTATGATGATGGCTATAAAGATAAAGGAGGAGCAAGAAACAAGCAAAGGGAAGACAAGGAGTGGGAGAGGAAAGAAGAAAAGGGAGAATAAAATCTTACACAATTATCAGGATATTATTAAGCCACAATGTCCTTCCCGAAATTTCTGTTCCTAAGAACAAAAACTCCATCTGTGACTTGCCTTTAAAATGAAAGTGCAAAAAGAGGAACTTCTGGAGTTCATTGTGTCAAGACGTAATTCTCAGCTGCATCAGTTTCCATGCCCAGATTACGTACGTCTTAAACCCCAGTAACATCATCAAACACATAATATCGATCTGTTAGTGTCTGTAAAAATTAAAGTAAATAATCCACTTCAAGTTCCACGTGCGACACCTGACGCACAGTAGGCACTCAGAAATTGGGGCCTCTCATTACTACTGGTTCCATTC